CTAAAATTTCTTAAAAATTACTTGAATTTAATGTACTTTCCACTGTTTTGCACACAATTCTTACAACCAAACCAGCAGCACATCACACACTACAGTCGAGAGTCTAAAGTGTCTGCAATGTGTCGTCTTTTTGTAATTTTCTACAGTTTTCTACAGTCAATTCAGCCACTATCATGCAAAAATACACAAATTACTACTATATATTACACAATATGAGTTGTCTGTTATATGTACATTACAATTATAATATGTCTTATATTACACAAAGCAAACGAAAAAATCATACGATGAATTCTCTCGATGCAAGGAAGTAAACGTGAAAGGATATTTTTTAGTGCTTCTTTTTTTGGTTCTCTTACAATTAGTGTAAAATTTTCAGTGTAATGCAGAAAAATCACTAGAGACAACCACTAAAACAAAAGGACATTACAAGGAAACGATACGATACGATCTCAACGATCTGTAATCTGCAATCTGCAATCTGCATCGAAAGAAAGAAATACCCCAAAGAAAGGCTCATGTCTACAGTTACTATCTACAGTTATGCATGGTTGATATCACGCTATCATGCAAAAGCCCAATCCCAAGAGTTTGTGTGAGATATTGAGACTGCAAAGGCAAGACTGTACGTAGTTTTGTGGGAGACTGTACACTAAATGAGACTGTGTATGAAAAAATGCATGATGGATGCATGATGCATGATCAGATGCATGTAAATGTTTAAGAGATGATCACAACAATTTGATCAATCAATTCGATTAGATCAACATGATTTTCAACAACAACAGCAAGAACCCCAAATGGTGTGTGTAAAGCCAATTAAGCGGAGGAGAAATAGCGACGCCGCAACAAATTTTAGTTTTAGACAAAAAATAAAAATTTTAGACGGAATTGAAAGCCTTTAGAGATGTTTTTCAGGCTGTAAGAGCAGCACGAATTACAAGGTAAATGGACACAAATAGCAAAATATATGTATGGATGAATTTGGATAGAACCTGATTTTTTAACTTGAAATGTCATCTTACAAGTCCAAACATTCCAATTTTATGCTCTTACTTATCAATTATTTTTATATGGCACTCATAAATGTGCCCTTATTTGGTCACACCATTACTTCTTCCTATTTCTCTAGGTACTTTTGATTGGGAAGGTAGTACTTTTAGCCCTAATCTAATAGTTAGTAGCAGCCTGATTTGACGCTTTTTTTGCCGTATTTCTCCCTCTTGCCATCGCTCTAATTGTACCCAGAGCATGCCTGTTCGCCTCGCGTCGCCTCAGCAAAAAATTTTTGGACACTTTTAGAAATTTTGAGCAAATTTTAGCGACCGACCCTTTCAATTTGCCGAGTGTCTATAAAAGCCTTAAAAGCAGAGTCTTTATTGGCAGTAATCATTTGGAGACGACAGCCGTAGAATTCCACTGAAGCTGTTGATACTTCATTAGCTTTTTTTCATCATCATTTTTTTAGACTTTTTTCACTTGTTTTCATTTTCCACTTCCGTGTGCTACTCAAGAGACCGTTGTTTTGCTTCATTTCAATTCCCAATTCTGATCTGATGGTTCTGATCAAGATTTAGATCCAAAATGATCAAGAGCAAGATCATAAGTCTCACAAGATCAGATCATAAGGCTCATATAGGTAAACAGATGAACTGATCACAAGTGGAATAAATCATATAGATCGATTAGATAAGACAGATTAGATAGATATGAGGAGGATGTAGCCTAAGAAGATTAACAGAATCTCTCTAGGCCGCAAAATGAAATGTGCGCGCTCGAATATGGTGGCTGTGAATGTAAATGGATTTAAAATTTGAAAGATAACCTTTTGGATTCTAGCAAATTTGATTCTAGGATTTTGAACGAAGAGCCCGAAATGGAGTCCGAAGATCCAAAGCAGTGTTTGGTTGAGGCCGAAGGCATGAAACGGCTTGCCTTCTGCGGCGTTGCCGTGTCGACAGTGGCCACGTTGGTCGCCATTGTGTGCGTACCGATGCTGTGCACCTATATGCAGAATGTGCAGTCGAATCTTCAGGATGAGATCAGTTTCTGCCGTACTCGTTCCGTGTCGCTTCGTGGCGAATACACCAAGGTGAGTGCTGCTGCTTGTAGTATCCTGAAATCGAGAGTGAAGTCTAAAAATCAGTCACAAATGTGGCTTCTCTCTCCCCGTCCCAAATTCTCATGCGTGCCCTCTGGAACATACTCTATAATACTACTAATCGGTTGCGAATTTCCAGCTGGCTCATTCACGCCAGGCCGTAAAAGCCGAACGTGAGAAGCGTCAAGTGACCCACGAATGCTGCAGTTGTGGAATCGGTCCATCGGGCGCACCCGGTGCACCTGGTCCAGACGGTGAGGACGGTCGTGATGGCAAAGCCGGTAAACCTGGACCAAACGGACCAGACGCTGAAGAAGGACAGAAGGTTTGATGATAGACTGATCATAGAGGATAGAATTGAAAGACACGACCACTATCAGAGCCACAAATCTCAAGAGAGACCCTAAAAATCCGTGAAAATTCCAG